TAAAAGAATAATAATTTTAAAGATATTATATATTGCTTACAATTACACATATTACTATGTCTCAAGATAACTTTTTATACTAGAAAGGCAAGTCTCCCTACTGCCTTGGAAACAGAGGAATGTTCATCTTCCTTTCTTTAGTATTGTGCTCCATTCCCTAAAATCCTGCTGTTTCCTTTTTGAGTACCCTCATCTAGCCATTCATCAAGGTCATTCAAACCAATAATAACAGTAGTAGCTACCATTTATCGAGCACCTTATTTATTACGTTATCCATAATCCTCACTTTATAGATGAGAACCTTAAGGCTCGAAAAAGTTAAGTAACTTGTTCAATGTCAAATTTTTCTTAGCACAATGAGTATACTCTCACTGCTCTATGTAATCTATACCATACACCTTTGTTTGCACACTAGTGCCCAGTGTGAACTATTCTTTCATTCTATTCCTTTACTGCGTATTCCCCTTAAAACAGTAAACTCCATTAAAGTAGGGAGTATGTCTATGTATTATTCACTGCAATATCTTCAGGGTCCAGCATAAAGTCTGAATTAGTTTTTAAATAAATATTCTGCAGTTTTACTATCTCATTTTGCTACTTTCATTATATTTATTTATAAATAAAAAATTCTATTTCCCATCTCATAGACCCATGTCCAAAAAGAGGCAATAGTGCATTAGCTACCAGAATGTCTTCCTGAACCAATTTACAAAAGCTGTAGTGCTTTGAATCTAAAAACAGGAACTACCCCATTGTATTCTGATACTTGTAATAATCATTTCACAAATTCATCTTTTTTCTTAATCTAGATTACAAGCCTCTTGCAATACAGGATATTTTACAAATACATTTTGGACCCCACGTGGTGGCTACTGTAAAAGAAAACAGATGCTCATTAGGTAGTTGATTTTGGATGATTACACATTATACTGAAATAATTACATATAGACATTCTGGAAATTTTCTTCGAGTACAGCTTTTCAAAAGTGGTATTCAAAGATAGCTTTCAGGTGGTCTGTTAACCCTGCTGTACGAAAAGTTAGGTGAATGGGCCATCTATCTGAGGAATGCTCTTAAACTTCCTTCAGATTCTCAAAGAAATCTGTGACTCAGAAATATAGCCATCATTTATGACGCTATTTCAATGGGAAAGCATAATCCAAGACCCAAACAATGCACTTACAAACAACACCAAGGTATTAACTCCTACCTAAGAAAGAAGCATATCTATCAATCTCTGCTAACAATATACTTCCAGTAACAGCATCAGTTCTAGGATTGAACATCTGTAAAATCAAAGGGCTGTTTCATGTAATCTCATAATGCTATTACTTTTAAAACTACTTATATAT